TGTGTGTGTCTGCAAACACATATGTACCGAGAACAATCCGAGCGTAATTATGTGAATCGACATCATCGACTCTTCGTACAACACAGATACATATGCACCAAGAGACGGAGAGACGCAACGAATTTCAAGAGAAAAATATAGGGAGCAAATGCATCGCCGTACGCACACGCAACTGACATGAATTAATAAGGGTAATGACGAAATAAATCACAATGTTAAACATTGTATTCAGTGAAATACACAACAGAAATATGAGTAACAATTGGGCGGGTGACAGTTCTCGATTTTTTTTTTACTGCTGCTGCCTTTTGTGCGAAAACGAATTTATTCGATTTAATTTACGGTTTCAAATTATTGTTATTCTGTGAATTGTGCTCTCGCTGTCTGGTGCGCCCTTTTCGGGGAATTCGTCGTAATCATTGGATCAATTGAAATGCTGGTGCCTTGAAATTAGGGTGTATTATTCATGTCAATTCTTGCACAACATTTATGATGTTAATGGGCTGACATATGATTTATGCACTCTGCACATCAGTCACCGATGATGATCCAAACTAACCAACTACTTTTTTGTGGCAAAAACGCCACAACCAACAAAACAATTACAATTTTTGTAGATTGGAATATTACAACTGATACATGTTGAAGTCGTGAAAATCGTTGGTGCACGCACATATTTGAACTCGTTCGAAAACGATGTTTTGCACACATTGTTTACTGGCCAGTAAAAAAAGAATGTTCGGAGCAAACTACGAATGGATTTGGAGGGACCAAAAAGCCAATTCGAAAACCACAAATAGATTTTGTAATAAATTCTCTACATATTCTCCATTAATATACCGATAAATTGCTTTCGGTAAAACTTATAGCTCAATTGCGGTCGGTGTGTGTGTGTGCACGTTGTAAAATGCATGGCTTTCAACTGGCTAAATCTGTCTCTCTCAATAAATAATTCAGTTGCTTTTGAAAGAAAAGCCGAATTCAAATTGCATTTCTTTGATTGTTATTTGGAAAATACCAAGTTCGAACTGTGAGCTTGATAAGCTGTACTGTGCTGTGCTGCTGCATGCCACAGGCATTTCCATTTTCTATCCATGCAGAATATATATTAAAATGGTTGTTCATAGTGGCAACAGCACAACACACACATACACAATAAACAAACGGAATACAGTAAATAAACCATGTTATTTTGGGTTTTGCGGCATTACTTCTATCTACGATAAATAGACACATTTCATACAGTCAATAAATTCTCGAAATGAGCAACCAGATTTATGGTTTACGTTCATTCGATTCAACTTTCTTTCTCTGGAACTCTATCTCTGGATGTGCGTTTCGTTGTAATTGAACAATGTTGGAAATTTAGTCTTGCTTTGGCCGGATCGAAAGC